GATATGTGTGTTACATGAACACACACGTGTGTACATAGATACACATGACCATATGTGTGTGTGCACCCGGATCGGGAATGGTCAGGCCTACGTGTGGTCTTGATTTTTCTCTTTAAAAAAACATTTCTACGGTAAACTCATCCCAGGCCTGGCAGCGGGAGGATGAAGGTGAGAGCTCCACCGAGGGACCCGAGCGCCTTTCCTCCTCTCTGACTGCTCTGTTGACTGGCATGTCCCTGGCCATGCAGGGACAGAGGAAGAGCCTTGGAGACCCCAAGTCACAGAATCCCAGGGGAGGAGTCCACAGCAAAGCAAGGCTGCAGCGGGCAAAGACTGCACTCAGTGGCTGAGAGATCAGCCTGGCAGTCAGGACCCCCGACCAGCTCTCTGCCCAAGCAAGCGCCTTCGCCCTTCTGAGCGTCCACTCCACACCCACAGAATGGAGCGATGACATCCACCCTGACGCGATAAGAAGAGGAGATGCGATTTTGCAAAGCAATACTCACTGACCTGGCTACTAGCTGCTCACAGGGCACAGCCTTGCCCATGGAAGTCTCCAGGCAGCTGGATCCCTAATCCCAAGACAAGAACCCCCCACCCCAACAGGCCCCAGCCAGCACAGAAACCCAAGTGCCACTTGGCCCGCACGCAAGGGAGACGGGATGAAAACGGACCCACCTTTGGGCTTGAAAGACTCACGTGCTTTCTGCTCCCCAAACCTCAGCTCCAAGTCTACGCAGACCCTGGACCAGGTTGGTCCCAGCAGGGCAGAGGAACTGTTCCTTCCCTGCCCATCCCCGCTCACCATGCTCTTTCTCCTTTAAGACGAGAGCCTGGCCCAGCAGCCCCTTCTCATCTAGAGCCCCCGGCTCACCCACCCCTTGCCCTCCTTCCTGTGCTGACCTCCCCACCCTCAGGCCTGGGCCTCAGTAGAGACAACGGAGCTGGCCTTGGGAGCAGGGGAAAAGATGCCAGGGAGGCCTCCCGCAGGCTGAGGCCACTCGCTCCTAGGGTTGTGGTTGTTCTGCCGAAATGGGGATTGAACCCAGGGTCTACACATTGAGCTACATGCCCAGCCATTTTTTAATTTTTTATTCTGAAACAGAGGCTTGCTAAGCTGCCCAGGGTGGGCTTGAACTTGTGATCCTCCTGCCTCAGCCTCCCAAATTGCCGGAATTTCAGGCTTACGTCACTATGCCCAGCTCCAGAGAGGGTTTTGATCACCTGGACATGGCTGAGGAGGATACTGACCCTCCTCCTGATGGAAGCTCTCTGCTAAGAACACGGGTCTCCAGGCCAATGCAGCTAAGGACTTAGCTGAGTTGTCCGAAAGAACCTCTTAGACCCCCACCTAACAGGCAAGGGCCACCTTCTCTGCCAAAGGAGGAAGGGGACAGCAAGAGACCAGGGGAGTCTCAGGGCAAGACCCAGCAGGTTCCCTCTAGCCTAAGGCCTGCTCCCTGGGAATCCCAGGCAGTGTGACCCACGTCCCGCAGCAAGCCGGCCATCGTCCCCCTGCCCACTGGGTGGTCTGGCTAAAGGGCACTGGCTGCGAGGGAGCTGATGCTCCAGGAACCCAGCTTGTCATGCTTCCTGGATTCCCTGGCAATATTTGAGATCAATTAGAGGATTATTCAGTTTGATTTATAGGATGCCCTGTGTCCCAGGTGTCACAGAGGGAAGTGGCACGTGAGTGGGGTGGCGAAATGGGCGCATAGGTCCTGGGAGGCAGACTGGGGTGTGGCTTCAAGCTCAGGTCTTGGAGCTGGGCAGACAAGGCCCCAGTGTTGGCTAGACCACACCCGGCCTGGGTGGCCTCCGACAACAGACTCAGCTTCCAGAAACCTGTCCCCTCACTTTCTGCAGTCAGCTAAAATAATCACAACTGCTAAGATCGCTAGAGGACTTGATCAGATCAATTAAAAATGAGTAAGACAGGCCACTCAGCAAACGCGCACCTGCCACACACCAGACAGCGGGCACACAGGCTCCCAGCCCCGTGTGGCACAGTCTAGCTGGGGATGCGGCCAGTAAACCAACCACAGAGTAGAAAAGAGCAGATGGTGCTGCAAAAGGGAAAGACCCAGTGCCAGGAGAGCACACCAGGGATGGGGCTCGGGTCAGGGAAGCCAGTCCGGAAGAAGGCAGGGAGGCCTGGGCAGGGAAGAGCTCGGTGCATTGGAAGAACTGAGAGTACTCAGCAGGCTGGGGTGCTGAACCAGCAACCACATCTGCACCCTGAGGCTCGTGCTGGGAGCGGGGCCTCCACCACTGCCGCACTGGATACCCTGCAGCAAAATGGCAGGCCTGGGGCTAGAGTTCAGGGACACAGCTCTTGGCCAGCATGCACAAGGTCCTGGGTTCCATCCCACCCCCCCCACCACCACCATAAAGAAGTTTCTGGCAATAAATGATCCCTCCCCCAAGGTCCCCCAGGAGAGCTAGGTACCCAGCCCGAGGGCTTCCCAGCTGGCAAACGCCAGGCTGGCCACTGGTACAGCCAAAGCACCAAGAAACCACAAGCTGCCCACATCCCAAACCTCATTCCATCTCAGGACTCTGGCACAAAATCTCAGACAACACAGCATGGCTCCAAAACTGTTTCTCTTCTACCAGGAAACCCTCTTTTTTTCTGATTTATCTCTTGGCTGATCTCACTAGAAGTTCAGGCCAAGAGAAATGGATCATATGAGACAGAATTGTTTTCTGTTTCAGACAGCAGATCCTCTCTCTGACTCTCTCCCTCCCTCCCCTTCTCCCTCTCCCACAGTGAGTAAAAAAATCAAGAACCACAGCCAACCCTAGAGGCCCAGTATGACACCTATTTCCATCTCATGCAACGTCACCTTCCTGTGTTCATTACCAAAGTATGGTTAAACACACACACACACACACACACACACACACACACACACACACACACACACACACACACACACACACACACACCACACCCCTTCCTGGGCCAATGCAACTAGCCACGTGCCATCCACCCACTGCAGCTGTTTTGTCCTACTGACCAGGAAGGGCCTTGGGCCCAGTTACTTAGCCCAGGGAACCAGGGACTTAGCTGGAGGAATGTGAGACTCTGGCAGGGTCCCCCTTGAAGTCTCACAGGACTGTGTCCCAGAGAAGTGACACTGGACGCTTTCTTGTCTCTGCTCTTAGAGCTGAGCACGGGGCCCGTGCTTCCTCTGTCTTGGTATCGCTGTCTGGGACACAGCCCGGAGTTGTCCCTGAGGTCGGTACTCAGTCATCTCTGCTGGGTGACAAATCTCCCAAGACCTGGACAGAGCCAAGGTGCCCAGAAGCGTCCCTCTCTCCCATCTTGCCCCTTGTGCTGTCCCCTGTCCCTGGAAGCCCTGCCACTCCCTACCTCTCCTGGAGATGATACACCCCACTTCGGGGTCCCCCCTACTCCTCCAGGCAGCACAACTCCAGGAGAGCACGGTACGGACCGCCCATGGTGGCCGTCTTGTTTTCTAAGCACAATTTCTAAAGCATTTGCCATTCAACATCACCATTATCTTATAAAATTAAAGTTCTGACACTAAAATGCAGACAGGATGTAATCTCAGAGGCAAAAGAATCTCTTTAAAGACATCGAATCCTACTGTCCGAAAAACTCCCTTCTCTGTACTGTTCTGCCTCCAACCACAGCCCACGGCAGCTCCTGGCTCGGTATCAGGATGGACCTGTCCAAGGAGATAGATCTGCTGCCTCTGAGGTAAGGAATAGGCTGGGGATTGCAAGGGGGCAGGAGCACAAGCAGAGTAGGAGGCCTGGGAAAAGAGGAGGGAGCTGGGCCCGACGTGGGAGTCATGAGGAAAGCTGCTGGAGGCATTCCCAGGCACTCCCGGGTCTGGCAGATCCATCTGGCCCCTGAGGTTCTTTTAGCTGCTCAGCTAAAGAACTGGTAAGAGAAGCCGGGCATGGTGGCACATACCTGTAATCCCAGCACTCAGGAGGCTGAGGCAGGAATATCGCTTCAGGTTCGAGTCCAGCCTGGGCTACATAGTGAGTTCCAGGTCATAGTGAGACCCTGTTTCAAAAACAAAACAAAACAAAACAAAACAAAAAAACAACTGGTGAGGAAGGGACTTGTTCTGCACTGGCTCAGACACATCACCGACCCTCACCGTCCCTGCGCTCATGCCCCCGATGAGACTCCAGAGTACCCGGATGTCAGGCAGCAGAAGAGGAAGCAAGGGTGAGAGCTCAGGCTGCCTGTCCTGGTCTCCCCACTGACTCAGCCACCTTCCCTCTGGACGTTGCACAGCTGCACCCTGACAAAAAGGGCATGAAAGTGTCAACCAGAAGGCTCTTTCAGCACTAGGACCTGGGAGGAATAAGGACTCTGTCTTGGAGGATTGGCAGCCCTCACATCCCCTCACCCTTCTCTCCTTGTCCCTCCCACCCAGCCTGTTCCTTTTGGTTCTCAGACAGAAGCAGGGAAGACAGAAGCTTAAGCATGAGGCATGGTCAACCCTAGGAGGCCTCAGCACTGGCCCCATGGTCACCTGTAAGAGCCTCCTAATGTTGCCAGTGCCCCAGGATCCCAGGGAGACCAGGGCCTAACAGACCTGGGAGGGACCTGATCTGTGGTTTTTAAAGCTTCAAGGGTGCCTCCAAGGGCCTTCTAGTGCATGACTCTGCACCAGAGGCGGAAGAGGTGCTCACATCAGGGTCACTGCAGTAACAAATCACTCCCAACCTTGTCCCTGAGCAGAATGAAGCTCAGTCTTTAAACGGTTTAGCATAGAAAAAGCAAGCCTTGGGGGCAGGTGGCCCCCTGCTTGAGAAGGCACCCTGCCCCCCAAAGCAGGTGCTGCCTGATACCTTCCTGTTCCCCCAGTCTCTCCTCCCACCCTCAGGTTCAAAGCTGGCCGTGCAGAGCTGAAAGCACATGACTGGAAGCCCAGTTCCCTGAAGGGCCACCTCGGGGAGCTGTGTTACCAGGCACTGGGGACCAGACATCTACCGTGGTACCTCACCTTGCGCCAGACCCGAGAGTGGATGGGATGTGAACCGCGCGCGGCATACACATCGCGTAGCACTACTGGGCGCCATCCAGACTTCTCCTCTGCACTCATACTCCCTCCGATCGCAGCTCTGCTCTGTTCCCCACGAGTCCCCCGCGGGTCGCTGCTGTGTTCCAGCACCTAGTCCAGAGCAGTGCTGTCCAGAAGAGGTGTTCAGTAAATGTATATGGAGCCGTGAACTAAACACCGCACGCGAGTGTACACACCTGACCGCACCGCCGCCCGCCCGGTCACCCCAGCCAGGCCTGGCAGACACAGTCCCTGCCTCCCCACGCTCCCCTGTCATCCCCAGGCAGGGACAGCCCTCCTGTGCTAGACGCAGCACCCTCCTGCCCGCCTCCCTGCAGCTGCCCTGTCTCCGCTCCACTCTCCGAGGGGTCCATCTTCATGTACTTGTGCCCTTACTTACCAGTAATTGCACTTTTCTCAAATGACTGGTTTTTCAGAGCACAAATTTAAACCCTACGTTTCCCCGATAAAGACTTCCTCACGTGGTACTTCTAACCCAATACTCTTCTGAAGAGTTTCTGGGAAGCTGAAAAAGGAGGGGCACAACTCCACACCTGATAACCACCTACCTGGGGGACCTCCCAGTGTGCACTTGTTTCCTGGTCTGTAAAATGGGAGCATATCAGAATGTTCCTTAAAGGGCTGTTTACTGCGAGGATTAAAACTTGGAGCACAGACCGGTTCACGGCGCTAGCTGTGCCATGGAGTGAACCAAAGGCCTTCACACAGAGCTATATCCCAGCCCTTTTATTATTTTTTATTTTGAGACAGAGACTCAATAAGTCACTAAATTACTCAGGCTGGGCTTGAATTTGGGATCCACCTGTCTTACTCTCCCAGAGAGCTGGGATTACAGGTGTGTGTGTGTGCATGCAAAAACAGGAATAAAAACAAGAACTGTGGTTCTGCACTGTAGCCAGTCACGGTGGTGAAGTCACTCAGCTCATCACTTTCTTCCCCTCCTCTTAAAAATTCCCCCATGGCTCCCCAGTGCCCTCAGAAAAAAAGTTCTTCAAGATCTGGTCCCGGCTAATCTTGTTTTACACTGTACACCTCCACCCAGCCAACTGCCCCAAGCAATTTCATCGGAGGGGGACAACTGGCCAGCGCAGGGCCAGCCCGCAAGACACCGCATCCCTAAACCGAGTGCCAGTCCGATCAGTACCTGCTTCAGGTGATACCCTCTGGTTTCAAGGTGAAATGCAATTGAGAAATTCTGAAATTGGCTGCAACCAAGATTACTTGTCAGGCACAGCGAGTGCTTTTCTCTGTAGCAACTGCCACCCAAGGCATCCCCAGAGCTTCCTGGACTGCCATTCCTGTGTGATTGCAGGTGCCTTATCTCATTCGACACGATTATATTTTAGAGGATAAGATAGCAATGTTAGCTCTACTTGGAATTATCAGCCTGCAGTTGCAGCTACCTATACTTTTGCATTCACCGCAGAAACAGAAAAATCTTCTAAGACTTGAAAACCAACCCGAATGGGGTGCGGGGAGTGGATATAAAAGAAAGAAAACCAACTTAACAGTCAAGGGTAAAAAATATTACCCGGATCAGCTGTGGGGGAGGAGTCCATGCACTAAGGTTAAAAATGCATAGCTTTTATAGTCAGGCAGGGTGGCGCATGCCTGTAATCCCTGCACTCCGGAGGCTGAGGCAGGAGGATCGCTTTGAGTTCCAGACCAGCCTGGGCTACACAGTGAGTTCCAGGTCAGTCTCAACTACACAGTGAGACCCTGTCTCAAAAACAACAACAACAACAAAAAGCATAGTTTTTCTTTCTCTTTTCCTTTCTCTTTGCAAACTGTGTTTTTGTTTTTTGGGTTTTTTTACCTTTCATGATGAATGATATGATATATTCTTGGCTTTCAGAGCGAGAAAAGCCGTCAGGGTTTCATTTGTTGTGTTTATGCCAATAGAAATAAATCTCCGCATTCAGGAGGAGGCCGCTCACCCTCCCTTGTCCATCAGGGGAATCCTGCTGGTCACATGCCCTGCGGAGGAGCAGAGCAGATACAGGGTAAGATACGCTCCGGCCTTATTGATCACAAAGCTTCTTCATTACTTCGTGGGGCTGCAGATCAATAGACTCACAGAAACATAATAGATTTTCTTAGAAAATCAATTAAACAATATTTTTTACAGGTTTGCATCTGCGCGGCCCCTGGCGTTTAACCTGTACAGTGTGACACAGCTGCCCTCTCTGAGAGGTCTGGGAATGCAGTGGGGGCAAGAGCTCACTGCACCGCTTACCCCACAGCCTCGTTGGAAACCTCTACGACCGCTGGTCGCCTTGCCCGGTCCCCACACACCATTCTGCGGGGACAATCTGCCAGCACGGCTCATCGCGGTCTGAAAAACACAGAAATGAAACTTCTCACAAAGCTCAGGCTGATGTCTGAATTTCTCCCTTCTGAAAGCAGAAGGAAACTGCAGGCATACAAATGAAACATGGCCCGGCTGTGGCCATCCGGATTTGCCACCAGGTTGCAGGCGACTTTCTCAGCTTCAGCCGGTGGAGGAGCAGCTGGAGGCTGGGGGTGCTGGCTCAGGCTTTGGAACAGCCACGGGGAGGCTGCTAACGCCCGGAGCCCCAGCCAGCTGGCCATTTTTGCAGCTCACGGACATGAAAGCAAATTTCCCCGCTGCCAGAGGGAGTGGGCAGGGGTTTGGTCAGCGTGCCTGGCACACGTGCAGTGGCTCTCTGAATCGAGGTCCTCACTGGTGCAGCTGACTGCCCAGCATTCCGTTACTTCTTCCTTCTTAGTCCATCCTGATCCTGGATAGTTCACCTTGAGAGAGAGAGAGAGAGAGAGAGAAAGAGAGAGAGAGAGAGAGAGAGAGAGAGACAGAAAGAGAGATCTCCTCCCACTTCTAGCAAATCACTGATGAGCCACTCAAATGGATGTGGTGATGTGGAATGGAGACCAGCAGGACAGCGACCTGAAAGACCACCAGCTCTGCCAAACCTGAGGAATCTCACATCTCTGCCTCTGCATAGTAAATAACAAAGCTATAACTCCTCAGAGAAGCCAGGCGATGACATTTTAAGATCTCCCTCGGCTTTGTTCTCCTGGTTCATGTCACCAGAACACCAGGATGGAATCTCAGCTCTGATTTATGTCTGTTTTGAGGATGTGTGTTATTTACCACCATTTCCTTTCATCTGCCTCTTGCTGAAAAGACTTTGTCCTTAGGTGACAGTGACTCTTCCCTGGCCTCCCTTCCTTCCCATTCTGCCTGAGACAGAGGCGGCACCAGGGCTTTGAGGTGCTGATGTCATTTCCTGTACCTTCTCATTTGTTTTGTTGTTGTTGTTGTTGTTTTGCTGCTGTCCCCGTTCTCTGAGCCAGAAAGATTCTGAACTGAAACATAAAAGTGAGGAATAAAAGTGGAATAAAAAGCCTGATCCCTTCCTGCAGAGCTAAAATAGAGTCAGAAGGAGCCCAAATAAATACACCTTAGGCCCTGGCTGAATTGCCTGAACCCCGACGCGTACATGAAAGGGACCGTTCACTCTGGTTGAAGATGAACTGGGTGTTCCTTACTCCTTTGCCGTCCTACAGACAGGGGTATTGGGAAGAATGGCAGGGTACTGGTATGCATGTCGTCTAGGGAAAAAGAAACACATAAAAAATGCAAATGGAGATCTTTCAGAGCCAAGGATTCTAGGGAAATTACGTCTTCTAAGACCATGTTTCAGTCCTGGTAGGATTCGTGGTACCTGTTCTGTATCTCAGCAAAACAAGGAAGGAACCATTCAAGGACTAACTTTAAACCTCCTGTGTTTAATCATCCATAAATCCAATGTGGATCCACAGTCAATACCAGATTCCCAGGCTTTAAGGGAATTCCAAAGGGAAAAACAATAGTATTGTCACCAAAAAAAAAGTGGAAATAAGAAAATCTATGTGAATTTTTTTCTTGGGAGAACTCTAAATTCTTACAGAGAAAGAAGACCTAAAAGGACAGCAACTCATTCCATAAATACTGTATTTACTGGGGCCTTCAGTGAAGTGGCTCCTAAGTCACCAGAACAAGCTTGCCTTCAAGGGGCGATATTCTCTGCTGTTCAGGGAGGCCAGTGTGGCAGCACACAATTATAATCCTAGCGCTTGGGAAGCCAAGGCAAGATCACCATGAAACTGAGGCCAGCCTGGGCTCAAGCGAGTTCAAGACCAACCCGAACTACATAGCCAGATCCTGTCTCAAAAAACAGAGAGATAGAGGGCCGGGGATTTAGCTCAGTGGTGCTGCCGCCTGCCTCGCAAGCGCAAGGTCCTGAGTTCCATCCCCCGTACCAAAGAACAGAGAGATAGAAAGAAAGATGTGTGTGGGTGTGAAGTGGGTTCTACAGTGCAGGGTTTTTCTACACAATCTTTGTGAATAACCCTGACTACAAGAGTGTCCTGGTGAGGAAGTGGACCCTTGCATCAGTCCACAGCAATAGAAATTACTATAACCAAGTACCTAAGGTGGGGTACACAGAAAGAAAAGAGATTGATTTCACTTGCAGTTGGGAGGCTGAAAGTCCAAATAGCACAGCATCAGCTCTGGCAAGGGTCCTCCTGACTGTATCACCTCGTGGCAGAGGGCATCATGGTGGGAACACGTACCAGTGGGAGAAGGGGAGACCCCTCATCTAGACAGGAAGCCAGAGTGGGCAGGGCCGGGAACAACCTCCCACCAGGTCCCACCACCTCTCAATGTCCCTCAGAGGCCAAGCTCCCAACAGGCGGACCTCTGAAGGACACACCGAAACCACATCCAGTAAGTGATGGACCCTAGAAACGATGGGCACTCGGAGATGCATCATGCAATGAAGGATTTTCATAAGAACAATCATGAAGGCCTCACGGGAGCTGAGTTTAAACATCTGAGACCGGGGGCAGGACCACAGTTTACAGGCCTCCAAACAGCCCCCCACTCACCCTTGCACACTACACAACAAAGCCACGGAGCAGACACACACAGCCCTGACCCACCTCTTCTGCAACAGTGACTGTTCACACCCAACTTCTGCCCTGCTATACTTCCTGAGCCTCCTTTCACACCTGCAGGGACAGTTCTGATCTCCTCCCCATACAACAAAATGATCGGTAGGCTGAATAATGGATCCAAAGAAATCCAGGTCCTGATCCCTAGGACCCTTGACTATTACCTTCTCTGAAAAGGAGACTTGGAAAACATGATTAGGTTAAGGGTCTTGGGATGAGCCGGTTACCCTGCTTTGTATGTGTGGGTCCTAAAAGTATGGTACTGACATTGATCCCGAGGAGGAGGAGGCACAGCGCACTACAAGAGAAATCACCAACAGAGACGAAAGACAACCTACGATGTGGGAAAAATCCTACCAGCCGTTCCTCAGACAAAAGACCACTATCTAGAATATCTAGAGAACTTTAAAAAGTCAGACCCCATCCCCCAAACTTAAAGACCCAATTCAAAAATGGGCATCTGAAATGAAAAGACATTTCTCGGACAAGGAAGTAGAAGCAGCAAATAAATATATGAAAAAATGTTCAACATTTCAGCATTCAAGAAAGCAAATGAAAAAAACACTGAGATTCCACCTCACTCAAAAAAGAATGGCTGCTATCAAGAAATCAACCAATAACAAATGCTGGCGGGGATGTGGGGAAAAAGGAGCACTTCTCTATTGGTGGGGGTGCAGACTGGTGCAACAACTGTGGAAATCAGTGTGGAGATACCTCAAAAAAACTAGGAGTACTCAGGGATTTAGCTCAATGGCACCACACCTGCCTCACAAGCACAAGGTCCTATGTTCGATTCTTGGTTCCAAAAACAAAACAAAAAACTAGGAGTAGAGGACCCATTTGACCCAGCTATTCCCCTACAGGGTATCTTTCTAAAAGAATTAAAATAATCACACCACAGTGATATGCACACCCATGTTTATAGCGGCACAGTTTATAATAGCTAAATCTTGGAAACCGCCCAATTGCCCATCAGCTCAACTGATAAAATGTGCGTTTTTTTTTAATAAAATGGAGTACTACTCAGCCATACAGAATGAAAAACTAGAGACATTTATAGCTAAATGAATACATATTGAGGCCACACTCTTAAGTGAAATAAATAGGACACACGTGTAAATACCGAACAGTTTCCCTGATGTGAAAAACGAAAAGTATAAATAAGGTTCAATATGTATAAGTGATAATGTGAAATAGGAAGAAAAGGTCTAAAGGAGTCGGGGAAGTGGGAGCGAGGGGGAAAAGGAAACAAGGGAAAAGAAACAATATGAGAAAAGGAAAAAATGGAAACAAAGTCTATGCAAATAGGGAAAGGTGGAGTGGGTAAAGGGAGGGCCGGGAAATGGGGAAAAAGTAAGAACCAAGATAGTCATGTAAAGGTACAAATTCCCAATGAGAAATGTCAGCGTATTGTATACCTAAAAATGTACAGATAAACTCAATGAGTTTTAAAAAAAAAAGAAAAGAAAGACAGAAAAAGAAGGAGGCATAAGAGCCGCCTGTGAGGACAAAAGCAGAGGTTGAAGGAAAGGCCTGGAAGGTGCAGGAACCGAAAGCTGTGAAGGGCAAGGACGGGATTCTCTCCTAGCACTCTGAAGGGGCCTTGGTCTGATGAAATCCACTTAAGACTTCCGAGGGGCCCGATGTGTCTCCCCATGGTACGGCAGCACTCGCCTAACTTGCACGAGTCTCTGGGCTTCATCCCAGCACTGCAAAAATAAAACAAACTTCTGGCCTCCAAACTGTAAGATAATAAATTTATATTACATCAAGCCAGCAAGTTTTTGATTTGTTGCAGCACCAGTAGGGAACGACCCCCGTAATAAAGGGTGCCGTGATCATTCTCTTCTTGGTTTGTGATTTAAGACAATAATTTTAACTGGAGAGCAACTTTTTGTCAAAGCTGCAGATGGAACAGCTAGCACTTGAATACATTTTTAAATGACTTCCCTGTGTTGCAAATGAAGCCCATGTATTGCTAGTTGCAAATACGAAAGCTCCAGTGGTTTAGAGATCTGACTTTGGACAGGTATGTACCTAGCATTAGCTCCAGAATGTGTCCCTTGTAACAGGTGACCATGAACAAATGGCAATTCCATCTGTATATGCAAACCTAAGGATATCATCCTCTGACACTCCATATATGTTTCAGGATTCATGGAACAATAAATACTATATCCTAAGTTAAAAAACAAAACTATTCAAATTCAGGGAAATATTTCACGTGTGCACTAAAATCTGTATTTACCAGGCATACATACTTCTTGTCACAGTTCACACTGTTTCGTTGTCTTAAATGTGAAACGCAAATAAAAATGATATGCAGTCTTACAGATTTCTGTTTCTTCATCTTGGCCAGCGCAGCAGTGCTGTCATAGATCATTTCCAATTGACTGCTTAAACATGGAGGTGGGGGCAGGGATCTAGCTCAGTAGCTGCCTGCCTCCAAAGTGCAAGGACCAGAGTTCGATCCCCAGGACCCCTCCAAAATAAAAAAACCATGGGGGATGTGACTCTGCACATCATGGGGGAAAAACTCCAACTGTTCCAGACCGTGAGGAACTCTCCAAAGGAAGGACAGCCGCCGTCTGAATGCTTGCACCAACTGTGCAACTGGACTTTTCCAAATTAACTTCCACAAAGAGCACAATGTTCATCAGAGGATAGTTAAAGTGTGCCTATTTGAAGCTTACATTGTATCTCCGTAGAACTCAACAGTAACAAATGGCTTAGGGTGTAAACCCACAACAAAAAAGTTCAGGAACACTGTGTAGAACTGCATGTGTGTGGCTTTAATAAAAAGCAGACCAACGTTTTATTATTGTTTTTAAGTTTCCTGCAGGTACTACCCATCCTCCTTCCCAGCATGGGGAAACAGACAAGGCAATGGCCCTCTCTATCCAGGAAGAGAGATGGTGTCTTTCTCTTGGCGTAGAAGCTAAGTCTTCCTCTGACCCCGTGGGGCCAGAAGCCAAAAGGAACATTCAGTGCTGAGACAGCCTGTGGGCAGAGCACCAGGGGAGGAGGGACGTCCACAGGAGGCCCCCAAAGCTTTCCTGAGAATAAAGGACCTTTCCTCCATTCCGCCAGGGCAGCTTGCAAGGGGTCTGCAGGAAGGGCTCCCTGAACACCCAGCCTCCCGGAGAGCCTCGCCCAGCCCACCCTGCCCCCTGGAACTCCCCATCTGAGAGGGACTCCTCTGCACAGCTGACACCTGCCAGCAACTGTCTCCAAAGCCAGGGAGGGCGCAAGTGTCTGGCCCTGCAAACTGGGAAACCCAGATGTTTTTCATGCATGTGGCAGGGCCAGGCCAGCAGAGGGATGAAGTCCCCTGGAAGCAGGGACAGGGAACTAAGACAGCAGAGAAGCAGACCACCCTACCAGCACCCGCAAACACCCTCTACCTGGTCATGGCCTCTGAGACGTGTGACATCGTCCCCGGCCACCAGAAGAGCCCACTGCTCTTCTTTCTCCCCAGTACTTCTGGCTACAGGTTGCCTCCTCGGGACAAGAGGACAAGGACGCACCTGTGGGCCTTGGGGTCAGCAGACCTGGATTCAAGCCCTGCTACTCCGGACCACTGGCCCCCCCAGCAATGCTCCCCCCCCTCGGCAAATATAACCAGAAGGTTGAGCCTGCAGGGCAGCAGGAAGCACAGGCAGTTGGGGTGCACCTCCTACTGTCCCCCTTGGCACATCCCCGTAGCAGGACACAGTGTCATTGCTCCTCTGCTCCCTCCCCGCCCCCACACACGGGAGTGTCTCCCTGGCCCCTTAGAGTCCTGCT